GCAATATCCTGTTATACATAATTACTAATAACAAACTACAACGTTCACTAATGACTATTATAATCGTGTTGCATTCATTTCCCGTACTCCCCTTACACACAGGCGCACCATTTCTCTCCACTAAAATTAGCAGTGAATATTTTAGCAGCCGATTGCCACGTCATTAGTCTTGGACTGACCTATTTGGTGTGTGCAACAGGAAATACTTTGCTTTTGGAGAACAAGAAAAATAGGTTTATTTGTGTTACGCTTATTAATTTCCATGTTATTCAGTGTCTGGTAAGTTAATGTTCAAGAAAAAATATCAACTTTGTTTAAAATGTTCCATTATTTTATGTTAATGATTACTAATTTATTTCAGGTCTTTGTATTCAGCATGTCTCTATCGAAATAAACCTATGTTTCTGTGAAAATTGAAGCCTTTGATTTTTTGCGGCCCACGTAAACTTAAACCTGGTTTATTTGGCCCGTGTTAGCCTTTGAGTTTGACATGCTTGGTGTAGGATAACAAAGAATAACATTAAAATTTTATTTCCATTTTCATGCTTCCGTGCCTAAGAAAACACCCTGTGAAGCCTCATAGATTCTTCTTCTTCAAAGAATGCTCTTATCATAGTACAATTTGCTTCTTTTTCACCGAAATGATAGATAGCAAACTCACTTTTGGTTGAGACTTACAGTTACTTGGTTGCATAGGTTGGGTGACAGGACAGGTTAAACCCCCATTCCCAATAAAGGGCTTATCTGAGATATTGATATGCAGATTGAATAGTTTCCTTGTAAAAGGATTTTATATTTACTCATGCTGAAACTTTGATTCCAGGTGGATATTTCCAAATATGTCATCTATCTATGTGCCTTAAAATACTGCTCTGATCTCTTCTTCTTTCTCCAAGCAAATGCATCATTTATAATTCTTTTCATAAGGAGATAATCATTAAAAAGGTGGCAAAACTAGAAAGCAAATTAGTTTTGTGATTTCAAAGAATTAGCTGACTATTCATTATTAGAATGTTTTCAGACTACTTTAGAACTCTCAGAGGTAGAATAATGGTCCATATAGTGCTATCAGGTTTCCTTTATGGGCAGAGTAAGCCATCTAATCTTGACAGACACAATTGTTTTTGATTTCCTGCCATGGACATCCATCACAGAAATAGAAGGGATTAATAGCATTTTGTCCACTAACCAAAAACATTTATAATGTATACCTGGAAAATATTCCAAAATGGAGGAGAACATTAAAGTTTCAAAAAATTTCAACAACTGAAAAATCAATATCAGTTGAGGAGAGAAAGCCATAAAGGTACTTTTAAGAGAGATGGAAACCTTATTTTTAGATTTTCGTTAATTTTAAGGAGATAGTGGAAGAAAAAAAACAACCTTTAAGAGAATTGATGGGAAATATTATTTCCCATTTTAAAATGAATATTATTCCAGGAATGTTCTTATCATGTATATGTTCAAAACATGTATAAGATTTTCTCAAATTAAATAGATTATTGTAAATGTTTTAAAAGAACTTCTACTCCCACTTGCTTTCTGTCATCAAGCTAAAAATTCTAGAATAATGGTGGTAGCAATGCAGAGAGAGTACTATGCACTTAGAAAAACAGTTGTACCCGAAATAGATTTTATGTTTTAGTAATTACAGGGGGTCATCTTTCCTCTCATCATATATAGACCGTGAGATACAAGCAAAACCAAGAAAAGAGGTGAGGTGCTAGAAATGGTCCTACTAAAGCAGACTTGCAAACAGATTGGCTTTTGGGAACATTCTTGCAAAAATTATCATTCTAGAAAATTTTCCTGATGAATATATGTTTTAAGGCTAAACAAAATGGAAATATCACTGTAGAGAGCATTCATTTATTACTTGAATTATGTATTTATTTATTCAATCAAAAAATACTTGAGTTTCAGTAACTGGAAAGGCATGGGGTTAAGCAAATAAGAAATAACTTCTGTCCTCATAGAAGAGAAGAAAATTAACATTTGTTGGGGGCGAACTATGGCCAAGCACTTTGCATCTTATATCAATTCTGAGGTGGATATTTTTTACCATTTCTCTTTTTATATCAGAGGAAGCTGAGCCTTGTGGGTGTTTAATAGGTTGCTCAAAGTCGCACAAATATTAAGTGGCAGAGTTCAACTTCCAAAACACTTTGTCTCCAAAGCTCACTACACTACGGGCTTGTAATCTAGGGGGAAAGACAGAAACATGCACAAGTAGCTGCAACACAGATAAGAGACTGTGGCAAACACTAGGAGAGAGGCATATGGCACTTGCTCTGGGAGCAGAGAGAAGGAAGCTCCTGTGCTAGTCTCGAGGGCACTCTGGGAAGGCTTCACAGCGAAGGGGCATTTGAGCGTGATCTTGAAGATAAATGGGGAGGAGAATTACAGGTAGAGACATAAAAGTGCATTGCAGGTTGAAGAAACAGCTTATAGTACTGCGGGGCTGGGAAAGATGTCTCACACTTGTTTTCATACTTTAGTTTGGAATTTTAGAATATCTGGCAGCATGCCTGAACAATGCCGTGGCCCGCAGTCATTACAACACAATGAATTGCATGGGCTCTGGAGTTAGGCCTGCCACTTCCTGGTTGTGGGACCTTTGGGAAATCATTTACTAGTAAGCTTTGTTTGGTTAAACGGGGATACCCATCGTGAGGTTGTTTTAAGGAGAATAAGAGTAGATACATGTAAACTGCTTAGCACTGACTCACTAAATTGGCTGTTATGAATGCTACATCCCAGTAATACATTCAGTCATTGCAGGATTCTCTTGGTCACTTTTTGCACCATGGCATTATTGGAAGAGAACTGTCCTGTATACAGTATTAACTAAACTCTCCTATATACCCACCAGGCACAGTTTCAGCAACATTCTCTTTCTTTTCTGCTGGATTGCTGTTTTGTTAGGCCTCTTCTACTCTCCAAAACATAATGTTCTATACTGCATTGCAAGACCCACTTGACTAAATGTACAGTTTGGCAGCTGGAGAACCAACTGTAGAGAGTAGGTACATTGGGAATGGGGGAGGGGTACACGGGAAGGAAGATAGTGGCAGGAGAAGTCAGTCAGGTCATGGTCAGATTGGAAAGGAACTTGAATGCCATGTTGAAGGGCTTGGTCTTGACCCCACAGATGTGGAGAGCCATGGAAAAGAATGACAGTAGGTGCATGGACTGCACTGTATCCCTCTCAAGTCCCTATGTTGAGGCCCTCCCCCTTCCCTCAGTGTAACTGTATTTGGAGATAAGGCTTTTAGGAAGGTAATAAGGTTAAGTGAAGTTATCAAGGTGGGCCCCTAATGTGATAAGATGTGACCTTATAAGAAGAGACACCAGAGCTCTCCCTCTGCCATGTGAGGGCATAGCAAGAAGGTGGCCATCGATAAACCAGGCAGAGAGACTTTAGCAGAAACCCACCCTGTTTGCACTTTGATCTCAGACTTCCAGCCTCTAGAACTGAGGAGATGAAGTTCTATTGTTTAAGCCACTCGGTCTGTGGTATTTTGTTAGGGCGTCCCCAGCAGACTAATACAGTAGGACACCAGCATGATTGGATTTGGGATTTCGGAAGGTATCTAGTGCAGTGCAGAGAATTGTTTTGCATATTTTTTGTCTGGTCAGCTCTATACATTCTTTGAAACCCAACTGCTCTGAGAAGAGTTCTTGATTCCTTAAGCTTGATTTTAATGTCCTTCAACATGTTCCCATAGTATTATGTGAATACATCTATCATAATAATGTATCATAATTCTTGACTTTAATTAGTTATTTCCCCCACTAGATTGTAAACTCCCTGACATCAGGAACCACATTTTATCTTTGCATTCCCAGCATCTAGTACTGTACTTGGCATAGAGGAGGCTCTCAATAAATATCTGTGGAATTAATAATTCATAAGTTAATAGAAGAACCTGCGGCAAGAAAACTGGTTCTAAGATACTAATGTAAGAGTCCATTAGCAGAATATCCACCAGTAGCTTGTACCATATTGTCTTAATTGTTTGACAAAAGATTAAAACTGATAATAGTGTATCTTTAACATTTTATTTCTAATCCGTTCCAAAATGATATTAAATGAAACTGTAACTCCAAAAGTGCTGAATAGATTTTTAATGATTTTTGCCTCAATGAAAATGAGCTCCTTCCCTTACTTTAAGTCCTAGTATAAATATACTGTACCTAATATCCTCGAGAGAGAAGAAAATGCTGACTGTTTCTAATTACCTAATTTGTTTGGAGGAATCAGCAATAGTCCACAAAGAGAATTAATGTGATCAGCAAACTCAAATGCATTGTTTTGTAATTTATGCAGAATTCCCGATAAGTCTTTCAGAGTTTGCCAATATGTGCAATGATGAAAGACATTAGGCCAAAACAAATCCTCTGTCTTTGCCTTTAGAGCACAGAAACAGTTACAGGAATGGAATTTATCCATTAACTAAATAAAGTATTTCTATAAATCACTGTATTAATTGCTGACTTAAAGGCTGTGCCCACATCATGAAAAGCAAACAAAAGATATTGCCAAAAAGAGACTTGTCTAGTTGATTTGACAACATCAATGTGTTTACTTAGTAATTTCAGCCCTTAGTGGAAATGGTGACAGACTCATTCCTCTGTTCTTTTAATTTTGATCTATTAAGATAGTCATATTCAATTTTTCCTGATTTTATAATATTTCTGTTCTTAAAACATTGTGTATGGTTTGGGACCTTATTGGAGGGAAGGTATGTGAATCCATGTTTCTCCATTTCCCTCTAATTCTGTTGTTCCTATACATCCTTGGGCTTTTGCAGAGACTGAGAATAGCAAGTTTAATAGAATTTTTTAATCTTCAATTAAAATTCTAGCAAAAGTTTTCTATTTGCTCAAGCAGACATACAGATGTAGAAAAATTTTATATACAGATGTTAAAAAAGAATAATTGGGATTATTTAGAAAGCTTAATGAAAATCAGATGACCTTCTGAAATGTTGACCTACCTTTTCCAGATACTTTTTTTTCTCCTCCGTCTTTAGGGTTTCATCAATAGCATCTGTTCCCTCTAAAGAAAATACAGTCATATTCAATCTTAAATAATTTTATCTTGATTTTATAATAATATTGATATAAAATTGCATAAAGGTTAAAAGTTAATACATAGAGTAGGAAGGTAAACACAAATATGTACTATGTCTTACAGCTTTATAAACCAGATTCATAAATAGAGATGGAATTAATTAGCTATGGCTCCAGAAAACCTCTAATCTTTAGAAGATGAGTATACTTGAGTCCAGAGACAAGAAAAAGGTATTTGATATCAGAGATTCCAATTTCCACATCCCTATTCAAGATGTTATAGGAAAGGAGGCATTTTCCTCTGAGTAAATAGGGTGGTTCCCGAGGCAGAGTTATGCCAAAGTATAAAGTTGTATCTTTATACTTTGCATTTTCTTAATCTAGGAATCAGAATGTTGAGAGGCATAAAACGTGGTACTTACTGTTTTTCTTAAGAGAAAGAGACTGCAAGAAACTTTTCTCTAAAATTAACAAAAGGATATAAGTCATTAGAAAACAACAGCACTAAAGGTATTTAAGCTTTCTATACCTATAAAAATAGTTTCCTTAGGCCTTACTAAGGTCTTACAGGCCAGGAACTTGGTTCCTAATGTTAACTCTGCCTTCAACTTTCACTAGGGATTTCATGTTTGAACTCATTATGTAAATGACTATTTAAAAAATTTTTTTAAATTGATTTCAGAGAAGAAGGGAGAGGGAGAGAGAGATAGAAACATTAATGATGAGCGAGAATCATGGATCAGCTGCCTCCTGCACACCCCCTACTGGGGATTGAGCCTGCAATCCAGGCATGTGCTCCTGACTGGAATCCAACTGGAGACCCTTCAGTCTGAAGGCCAACGCTCTATCCACTGAGCGAAACCAGCTAGGGCTAAATGGCTGTTCTTAATATCCTTTCAGCCAAGGTATAATAACATTTCCCCAGATGCTTCTATACCCTTTGGCCAAATAGATGTTATAGAGCAGTGGTCGGCAAACTGGGGCCCCTTGAGTGTGGCTCTTCCACAAAATACCATGTGCAGGTGCACACGTACAGTGTGATTGAAACTTCGTGGCCATACTCAAGGGGCCAAAGAGCCGCATGTGGCTCGCGAGCCTCAGTTTGCCGACCACTGTTATAGAGGATGTACTTTTAGATATAACAAAGACACCACTGATCATTTTGGGTAGAAGAATTAATGGGAAGTTTTAAGAACTATTTGCATAGGGTTTTAGAGATGCCAAATGAAAGATTCTTATTTTAGAATTAAATTTGATAGGTACATGGATAAAGTAGTGGTACATATATGCAATGGGATATTAGCCATAAAAACATAATGAAATCTTGCCATTTGGGGCAACATGGATGGACCTTGAAAGTGTGATGGTAAGTGAAATAAGTCAGACAGAGAAAGACAGATACCATATGACTTCACTTACATGTAGAATCTAAAGCACAAAATAAGTGAACAAACAAAACAGAAACAAACTCCTAGATACAGAGAATTGATGGTTGCCAGATGGGAGGGGTGTTAGGGGATGGATGAAAAAGGGGAAGGGATTGGAAAGTACAAATTGCCAGTTATAAAAATAGCCACAGCTGTAAAGGAAAGCATAGGGAATATAGTGAAGAATGTTGTAATAATTATCTATGACAGGTACTAGACTTGTGTTGGTGGGATCACTTTTACGAAGTGATATAAGTGTGTCATCACAACGCTGTACACCTGAAACTTGGCTGTCAAGTTTCAGGAAAGAAAGAAAGCATTATGTTCAGCAGTTTCTCCTGGGAGGGGCTCTGGTATCTTCCATGTTGACTGAGGTGGAGAGGTGGAGGCAGACAGGATAAACTGGAGGCAGCTACTCACCAGGGGTGCTGCTCTTAGAGGACCTGGCCACGGGCAGACGCTGGCTGCTAGTGCCCGACAGCACCAACTGGGACTCGTTAGGCGGATACATTGACGCCGTGATCCAAAACTGCTTGGCCAAGCTGGTGTCCTTTTCTGAGGAGCCACTGAATACTAATAATCCCTGGGGATAAATTCCACAGGCCTTCTTTCCAGGCCTAGGACCTGCACCAGGCCTCGTTTCCATGGCAGCTGAGGACGCTTCTCCAAGCTCCCCTGGCCCCTCTCCTAGCCCCGCCTCTCAGAGAACCTTCAAGTTGGCAGCAACAGGCCAGGCCGGAAACCCTTAGTTTCCTCCGTAGATGCTGAGGTCCAGCGCATATGGGTGGGCCCTCTGAAGCCCACTTCTGTAGTGACCGCAGGCTTCGGGACCAGTCTTAGATGGAGTCCAGATAGGAGAGTCAAAACATCAACTGGAGTTGTGTCTTGTCCTGTTGGGGTCAGTGGGGAAGCACTTCAGCGCTCATACTGTGGGTCAGCCTTCTACCTGCCTCCCCTAGTCTCCAACTTCCATTCCCCCAAAGATATCCCAATAAAGCTTTCTATTCCTTAGCCCCACCGCCCCAATTCCCCCTTCCACACCAACTGTCATAGCTCGTTACAGGCCAGCTTTGGTTGGAGAATTAAACAGGGCAGATCCCATTCTATTGGGAGCCAGAGGTCTAAACTGGGGCAATGGGTACCCATGTATATAATTTTTGTTATAATTCTCTCTTCCCCACCCCCATCCCTTAAGACAAATCTTAGGAAAGAAGCTGGATTTAGATTAACTGCATTTACTAATGGGTCCCGCTAAAGGCTGCCTAGACTGCAACAGTGTAAATGATTATTTAAAGACGTCTGATGAGTGGACTCAGTCCTTTCATGAAAAATAAAAATTTTGTTAATGTAGTCTGACAGAAATATTAACAAGTGCTTGTGAATAGCTTTCCTGGGAGCTGTTGTTAATCTAGGAACAATTGAACCATTTCAGAGATAGGAAAGTTGTAATTACTGTGACAGGAATTGAGATGATCCTCATAAAGGCAACTGAGGAAATGAACACGCGCCGATGACCATCTATGTCGGCATGGCACTTTATTCTTTCAAAACACTAATACAGTCTCATGGAAAAGATACCTCAAAAGTTGATCATCACAAATCTATACAATTACCCAATCTACCTGAAAATTTTTGGGGTTAAGAGCCTGATGAAATACTGAAAATTTTTATATGAAAATACACACATATATTTCATTACAAACATTATATACTTAGCAGCTAACATGTTGAGTTCTCTCTTGGCTGAGAGAACTGGCAGCATTTCCGTGTTCCAGCCCCAACTCCCCTAAGCCCATCCACGTGCACAGGCGCCTCCTCTGGACGAAGCCCCAAATCTTTTTACGTGGCCGTGTAGTTAGTGATTGGTACTACTAGCAATCAGCTAACTACACTGCCTAGTAACCAGACTCACAGAAAACAGTTTCCTTTCATCACCAACTGCAGTCTCAAGTTGGCGCCCAGGCTTTGTGACGGGTAAGCCATTGGCTCAGCTGTAGCTCACTTTAGTTGGTGGGTGTGTGAATGCCCTACTAAGTAATGAAAACTCGGCATGATTAATCACAGCTA